TAATGAACATACAAAAGACCATCATTTTTATCATGTTGTTTCAAAGTATGCATTTTTTTAAATAATTTTTATTCTGTAAAGACAGTCTTAAATTCTATTTTCACGGATAGTTCCTGCTGGAATATCCATATTTAAAGAATGAAGATTTTACCAGAATCAATTGTCCATTGCAAAATAATTTAAGACCTTTTTCACGAAATTTCATCATAAGAATATAATAATGGACTCGTAGCTACTGCAAATAATTGTTCATACATCAAGTTTAGTTTTAGGCTTTGCCTTGACAAAGTTTCAAAATTAACTAAATATCATCTTTGTGTTCAGACACCTCACTTTTGTATCCAATCTAATCAGTTGCCCGAACGAACTATGGTTACCTTCTGTCTCCCAAAATATTTGACCCATACTACTGCTATCGTATGAAGATGTTGTTCAGGAATAAAATGTTCATATCATTTTTAGCATCTCATAACATGGTATTTTCCACGCTTTATCGTTTATCGATATCAATGTTATATAAGGTGCAATATCGGACAAATCTGTAAAATCTATTTTCTCGCATTGCTCGGATACAGCAAATATTTTCTGCTACTTTTGAATCCCAATAATGTCGTTTCGAAGGCATATGTTGTATCACTAACATATAATATCGCAATAAACGTACGCTTACCTATTCGCGGCTATTCTTGAATACGATACGAAATCTCTCAAAGAAACGGAGGAAGGACTAATAAGAGAATAAGTATACTTTCAATATTTCATGTAATACCGGACTTACATACAAGGTTATGTGTAGTCCTGTGTCAGTCCGGCCGCATCTTTATACTTTCATCGCACCATTTAATATTTTTATATTTACTTATCACTTTTTGTGTTTAGTTACAAAATAGCATTTTCTAACTAACTTTTCTTTTATGATGTGTTTAAAATATCTAGATTGACTCATGATTTTGATATGTCATTATCTTAAAATTGATTTTAACCTCAAAAGCTGCATTTTGTTAGTAATAATCTTCTATTATTTATCATTTGTATTGACTGAAGCATTTTTATCATCTATTGTTATTTTATATTGCCAAAATTTACTACTGTAAATATTTTTGATTATATGTTATACAAATTATTATTAATAGCTCATTATCTTTATTATCTGTTGGAAACTCTGTTAATACAATTTGTATGACTACATTAATATCATTTATCGATGAATCAAAATCAAATTCATTATTTTGATTAGACTGTTTTATTTCAGATAATAATGTCTTTAGAGACTTTACTTTAAGTTCTATATTCTGCATCACTTCATTTCCAGAAAATATCTCATTTGCATTCATTCCAAATATATTATGTATATGTATTATTTATTAAGAGAGATAATTAGAATTAATAAATAAGTAATTGTATTTATATTTAATTAATTAACAAGCTGAATAATTTATAGAATTATTTTCATTGTTTTAATCAAATATTTTAAATATATATTATTGTTGTTATGAGTAACCAATCCCCGGTATCATAATTTTTAATTTTAAAAGTGAAAGTGCAAATTTTGTAAATTATTAATTCATAAAATAAATATACTAACAATTTTATTGTTTTTTTTTTTTATCAATTGTGTAATACCATTAAACAATAGTATTAGTGATTTTGAATATTTTTATGTACAGTAGGTAATTACTTTTTACTTACTGTTATTACCAGGGTCGGACTGGCCCAGACCGCAGGTCGGCTAGTTTAGAGGGTTTGGACCCCCAAACTTCATGTTTATATTTTAAATTTAAATAAGATAATCATTTATTCAAACATGTCTTAACATTTGTAATGGTTCCTTATTGATCTTTACAGATTTATAAAATAAAATGAATATTATCTAACAACTGAATTGTAATAATAATTAATAACAATATGTCAATATAATAATTGCTTGCGGGTCGTTCGACTACACGGCGTACCCGCGTATACACACACATACACACACACCCCAATTAATATAGTTATAATATCTTTAATTCGACTGTGAGCACGGTTGAAGATAGAATGGTTACGTGACGATCCTTACAATCCCATGATACATTACGGCGGAAAAGTTTCTTATCACATATATCATAATATTATGATTTTTCTCACTAGATACTAGCACTTATGGTGTCAACATGGCCAACCACTAAATCTTGGCTCCAAAAGCAATAATTCCAGTCTCCAGACGATATTTTACTATTTAGTCATACCTCAGAATATAAAATAAATATAATTTTGTTTTGTGTGACTGAACATACTAGGTACTGAATAATAATATTAAAGCAATGGTCATATACTCATATATATAAAAAGAGATTAAGGTTATGTTAATTTGCGCCAATTCTATCAGCCATGATATTATAATAATTGTGGTTATTCTTTTTAAATTAATTTCAAAATGCCAAATTATTGTTATATTTATGAGTCTTACGAGAAATCAAAATCTCTTTTTGGAGTTCCCAAAAATGCAGATTAAAACATTATAGGAAGAAGCATTAGGGATGCAACTTAAAAAAAGTCACAGGATCTGAGCAAAACATTTTTATGAAAGTGATATTATTAGTACTTGGAACTCAGGTCAAGGATCTAGTAAATATTCTGTAAATATATTTTTTATAAATAATGTTAATTTTTTGCATAATTAATCTTTTCTACATTTTGTTAGGTGTGTTTAAAGAGACTACAACTTAAAAAGGATGCGATCCCAATAAACATTAAAGATAATATAATATTAATATTTGTAATGTAAGCATGGTATTATCTCTAGGTCTCACCCAAAGCTTAAATATTAATAAGCAAATTGATTATGGTAACTCTAACTGTGTACCATTTATACCTAGCAATGCTTTGATACCACCAGAACCTAAAAATAAGAAAGGTTAATTTAAAAAACAGATTACAAATTAAAGTAGATTAAAATCATTGTTCAATTACTTTATTATTTAAGCAAATTGACGCATTAAACTCTTCAACATTATTATACCAATTGATTTTAAATAACAGACAAATTATAGATGTACTAAATAACCAGTGATGTAGTGGAGGGTATGCGCAAATATGCGGCGCATACCCACTTTCCTAATTCTAAAAAGAGAGCATACTTAAGAAAAAAACTAGAGACTGGAAGTATGCGCTGAAAAACATGCGAATACCTACTTCAAAAAAAAATGTTTATGCTAGTAGGCAGTAATTATTTTATTCTATTGATATCCATTATCCAATTGTTATGAAATGCGGGTTGTGGTCGTCGCGGAATGCCCGTAGATAACATGATATTATGGATTTTTGTATATACTAAAATATTGACAGTCTATTTTTAAATTAGCTGCTTTGGGAAATTGATAACATGATAAAATAAGATATAATGACGTATTTTTTTTTGTACAGTGTATTTAAAATTTGTCAATAATAAATAATAATCATATCAATATATCAGTTATTTACATGTCTCGACAACCTGGCTAATAGTGTATTGTTCACTAGTTCACTTAACACAATATTTTAAACTTGATGCTAATTAACATAAATGGTCCATCATTGAGTATATGGAACCCTGAAGATTATGTTAAAAGTTGGATTTTAAGCCATAGAACAGCTGATGACAATAAATCCAGAAAAATAAATAGAAATGAAAAAGAAAGCTTGAAACAAAAATTGTGAAGTATTCTTTAAGCTATAACCTTAATTTATAACTTTATAAGTATTATATATTAGATAAATAAATATACTTTATAATAATATATTAATATTAATTACATTGTTAAAGTTATTACGATATCAAATTAACTTAATAATAATTATATGTTATTAATTTATATAATTGAAAATATAAGACTAAATCTAATAACTTAAAAAATAAAAATAAATTAACAAATATAACCTTAGTACTATTTATGTATGTAAAATTAAACGTAGATGAGGTATTTCTTCTTCGGATACTCTATGCTGATATAATTTTAAACTACGGGGTTTAAGACCTCCAGTTTCATTGTAATACATGCCAAGGAGTTCCCTAAAATAAAAAATGTCATGATGAATTACATAATTTTATTAAAAAAAATCTTTTGTGCTACATACTTGACAATCAAATTAAGTTTATGAATGCTTTCTTGTCTGTTTTGTTGTAAATGTACAGTGGTAGCATATTGGCTGAGATGTGTATGCATCGATTCAATTAATGTAGCTGAAATGGATCGTGTTCTATTAACATTTATACCTGGGAAAGTGTAAGTTACATATGAACCATCAAACGACAGATGTCTATTAAATTCAGGTAGAGGAAAATATGACCGAAAAATTGGTGTGCAAGTCATTGATGGAGAATGTCTCATTGTTATATCTAAATCCTAACAAAACAATTATATTTTAAATTAATATAAATAAAATATTTATCATTAATTAGTAATTAAAAGTTAGTAGAATAAAATGAACCAACTATAATTGCATCACATGGTATCTGTTTTATTCGGCGTTCCAACACTGTAGCTGACCATTTAATGTTAACACGGAATACTCTACCATGATTTCCAATAGGCAATGTAACCTGGAATAAAATTGAAAATAATTTTATTATAATAAAGAAGAAAAAATGATTTTATTTCATTATAATATAGTTTAAAAAAATATATACTTCTAATTCTACTTGATTGTTTTTAAAAGATAGTGGAGTTCTTGTATAAATTTTATCTCTGCTATTAAAAACCAGTTGAATGGTACCAAAAATTCCACTGTATGCAGCAACCATTGTTTGAATAATTGCTTTATTGACTAATTGTGGACAATTCTCTGGTATAATATTGACATCATAATGATGTACAAAACCTTGAGACGTTGATAATTGATAATGATTGGCACGAAACTCAATGGATTGGCCTCTCCGTTCCAAATTTAGTCGACGTTGACTATTAAATACTATAAATTTACAAAACAAAAAATATTAAATAATAAACAAATTATAAATTTTATAAAGTTTACTAATACCATTTCCTTTGAGAAATACAAAGGGAAATTACTATAATGTAAATGCTGGTGATCATGAAAGACTTCCTAATTTACAATGAGCTTTAAAAATTCTGATGCATTATATGGTAATGCATCCATGACGTATTTTATATAGGCATAGACCTATAAACTAATGGACTGTGCTTAGAGAGAGAAAAGATAGCGTTTGGGGCGTTACAATGTGCCATTTAATTAAACCAAAAATTATGTCCCAACATTTCTTTTCAATGATATATTTTGTGGTTATGTTATTAAAGTTGTGTACACGACCGCCTGAAATACTACGTTCAAATTTGATCATACGTCTCCAAGCCAGCTTAACGAGTGTTTTGTTTGATCTTGTGTGACGGTTATTATTGTGATTTGTGTAATTGTTACAATATTATTCTTTTACTCGTGTATCGTTTTTTACCAAAAATGGTTAACAAGTGTTGCATTCAAGGCTGCAAGTCAAAGGGTGGTCAACAAATTAAGTTTCACAAATTTATATTTTCTCTATTATTATTGCTAAAGTCAAGTCTTCTGAGTACATTATTGAGAATTAGAAGATGATTCCTTAATTAAGAGGTTATTTAGGTTGAGAACTTGCATTTAATGAAAATTAGTTTAATCAGATTTAGCTAAATTGGTTAAATAAGTATACTTTTAGGTATATTGTAAATGATTACTGTTTAAGTATCACAAATTAAAGATTTAAGTAGGTAAACATAAATGAGTTGTCGGTTTTGCCGTCTTCCATTAATCTGTGCTTTAAGACCAAACTTGAAGGAGGCATAGGCGTAACTAGACCTTAAAGTTAGGGGGGGCTTCAGCCCTAGAACTTTATTATAAGTAAATTAAGTGGGAGGCTCTGCCCCCACCCCCCCCCCCCCAACCAAACACCTTACATTCATTGATTATACATATAATATGAATGTAAATTAATATTTAATTATAAAACAAATAATAAACCAAGTGGTATTGAAGTTAAATATTTATATATTAACATATTATTAAGTATTATTTTAGATATAAAGAATTTAACGATTTTTAGTTTATTGACAACTTCTTAGTAGGGAGTATTTGTGTAGTAAAAATTACACAACATGATACGTCTTACACAGGATCATTACATACAATAATATAGTTTAAATTAATATTTTTCCAAGATATTAAATTAAAAAAATAAAACGATATTTTAAATTTAAGTTTAAAAATGTTACTAATATTGGCGGGAGTGTGGGACTAGGAATTATGACAGAGGGGGCTAAAAATTATGTTGGGGGGACTAAGCCCCCCAAGTCCCCCCTAGTTACGCCTATGCAAGGAGGATAATACATTTTAGCATTAGGGTAATTGATACCCAACAATTTTGATGATGTAGGACTTTCTAGACACGATATTATTAATGAGTTGTGATATAGCTAAATTTAGACATCCACAAATGTATATATATTTATTGTAGCTTTGCAGATGATGAACTCTATAACCTTAATAGAGATTTTAAGATTAAATACGGGTATTCAAAAAAATAGTTAAATTAAATCAAACGAAGAAAGGCTTAAACATGAGTGTAAAACTTTACAATATAAAACAAAAGCCAAATTATAAATTATTTAAAAAACGTACCGTATATAATCAAACACTGTATTTGAATATGTTTATTTATATAAAATAATATTTTTAATTACCTATAATAATAACAAAATTTTAACATTTCTTTAGAATAAATGTAATTTGGCTTTTTGAATATATAAATAATATGTTATTTATCAAAAAACTAAAAATTATTTACATTTTTTTATGATAACTATGATTACTGATAAAATATATGGATAAAAAAACATAATGTTAATGGTCTTCCATGAAATGGCCCAAACTATATTCTTTATCTTTCAATCCATTTCGTCCCCGGGAGCGATTGACGGGACGGTGTGGTAGGCGAAGTCCATTAGTTAATAGGTCTATGTATATAGACAGTTAATTTTTTTTTAAACAAACAACCAAAAGTTGAGTTTACCATACGGGATCCAAAATTTGCGATAGTGACTCCCCCTTCCTCTTAACCAAAAAATCTGCTAGACACATTAACAGTCTCATCACAACGATATTATCCTGGAAATTTTTATGATTTTCGCTGTAGCTCTATTGATAAATTCGCACACAAAGTTTTAGAAAGTGTAACCCTACATACTCCGAATTGGTACTTGCCTATGTACGCTTGCTGTGACTTAGTTTAGTTACTTACGTCTATTGCTTGGTAGCATGATTTTCTCCTGTTATTACCGCGACAGTAGCTTAATCGCACAAAGTAATTACGTTCGACGTCAATGCTAACAAAAATGTTCAAAAGATGAAAAATGTTACGATTCGGGACACTATGGTATAATAAAAAAGCTGACGCTGAAAGAATAATAATAATGACGGGAGAAAAAAAATTAATTAATAAAAAACTGTGTCAGACTGGACTTTGTGACACGTTCATTGACACGGGTTCACCCGACGCCAACAATCAGTGTTGCAATACTGGATTTCAGTGATTTCATTTCACGTTCACTAATTTTTAGTATTGCTCAATTGGCATCGACTGACTTGATGACGCGCAGATTAGTACTCCCACTTTATTTATATGGACGTGACATATATTAATTTATAGCCTAATGCAGGTTGCCCAACCTGCGAACCGCGGGCCGCATCTGGCCCACGAAAGTGTTCCAAACGGCCCATGTAAAAAAAAATTATTATTCACAAAAAATGTATTTTATTAAGTTTTTAAAAATATAAAATATTTTACAATTTTGAATTTTTGTATAAAAAAAATGCATTGGATTTTAAAATGTTATTAAAAAAAAGTTGGTGAGAAATTTGGGCTTGTTTTTCTTTAACCAATTTTTCTATGTTCGGAGTGAAATGTGTAACGCCAATTTTTTATAAGAAGTGTAAGTACAATAGATATACCTATGACTAGTCTATATTTTATCAAAATGAACAAAAAAAAATAAACCCATGAAGCATATACGGCCCGCAGTACAATTATACATTTTGAATGTGGCCCGCCAGTTGAAAAAGGTTGGGCATGCCTGGCCTAATGATCCTTAATTTTGATTTGTAAATCTCGCTAAAATTTACTACTTCCACTTTTTAAATTTTATTGTATACCATACTTGATACTATTATGGCTATATATATTATACCACATACATAAATATGAAGGAAAGAATGTATTTTTCATAGCTGTTAATGATACCTATTTAAATACATTTCCTTTTATATCTTTGAATATATTGTGGTACATTAAATCGAGTAAAATGTTATTGAAATCTTAAAGTTAAATAAATTTAAGAACAGCAGTTAATCAATATTTATTCCAAACACTATTAAATACACTAGAATTATAAAATAAACAAAGGGAAGGTGCCGTAGAGCCCGACAGGTCAATTCACCAAATTAGTGTCAAAAGGGAGATACCGTTAATTCTATTAATTATCTATTACATGAAAAATCAATAGATAAGTATTAAAACTGTTTGAACGCATCATTCTAGATATAATTACAGTGAAACTTCCATACATACCGAATTTCAATTTAACAAAAATTTAAGTAAAATTCTGTACAACGAAATATTTTTACTAAACTATTACCTTCATTGTTAATATTAAATAAATTTATCCCTGAATAACGAATAATTTATTCGATAACAAATATGTTATTAAAATGCTGTTGCGCACCGTGTCATATTTCTTTTGAAAAATATGAACTATTGTTAATTAAAGTTAGTTAACTTTGAAATCACCATACCTATGAGCTAAGTTAGAATGAATAAAATTGGAATTTTTATTAGTATGGCAATATATTATATCATAGGTATTGCGCATTTTTTTTTCATATAAATTTTAAAGTTTGGTTAATGTAATTATTACTGTACTTATAAAATATGCTTGGATAAATTGCAGTACAAATAAAGCACTTATCTATATCATAAACTACTATGCATACTTTTTAGAAATTTACTTATTTCCCTTATAGTTAAAATATTAAAAAGTTACGTCTAAAGTTGATTATTTAGTTTGTTTACCATAAATTCTGTCGAACAAGGCACACAAACCACGTGTACAATTAAAAAAGAAATAAAAAGGTTTTGTTAAGAAGCCATTTTAGTTACACCGATTCCGCAGTACTACGGTTTTAGATAGCAATTGTATCTATACTCCGGTCTACATGTGACACATCTGAGTGGTGATCGAAATGTGTCCAAACATGAGTATCCAATTCCACCAACTTCTGACTTATAGTGTATTTTCACTTATAAAAACTTGAAGATTTAGATTTTTTTTAATTATATGTTATATTACACAGAATATAAACTTTTTCTAGTATTTTTACTTTCTTGTGGTGTTATATTCTTTCAAAATGTTAAAATAAAACTTCAGTTTAATAAAGATACTACATAGTTGAATAGTTGTAATTTTAAGCATATATACAGAGTAAATAAGAAATTTTTGACTGTTTTAATGCAAAAAATTATGAAACCAAGCTAATGACTCCAATAATTCATACAAAAGCATTATAAATTATTTAAATAAATATCTTTTGTATTATTCCAGGGAACAATATTATTTTATTACAATTTATAATACAAATATGTTTTTAAAATATTTTTTTTAGTAGATAACTTTGTTTAATATTTTTATAGGTTTCAAAATTGTATATATACCATTTATAATACTATATTGATTAGCTTGGGTAGATAAACAACTATTAAAAAAACTAAAAAATAACATAAAATTTATTGTTTATTTATAGTAAAAAATTTTATTAGAATCAGAAGAGCATTTAAATTGATGTTACACACACAATACAAAATAAAAGTATAAAAATTAATAAATACTCTCAAACAAAGTTTGAATATATATTCATATTTATTTTTAATATGTGTATATAAACAAAATCATTTATACAATTATATCTATTCATTTATAATAATTTAAAAATGAAATAACCCACAGTTAATTTTTAACTGAAATTAAAATGATTTAAATATATCGATAAAAGTATAGTAATAATTGTTATTAATTAAATGTATGTATAAATTTTTGAATTAAATTAATGTTTAAAATTACTGTGGCACCAATCAAATGTCCAATATAGAATAATAAAATACATAATTGTTTAAGACTGAGTATTACTATAAAATGGTATTCAACAAATAATATTTATGTATTAAAATTATGGTATTAATTTATATTATAAGGGAATATTAAATCTACAATTTTGTTTCCTTTGTTCAAGATAATCTAAAAATAATTTTAATAGAATTCTGTTATGCCAACTTAAGATTCGTGATATTCTAAAGTGTCAAGTATAATTAGTGATTATTATAATTTAATTACTTTTAACAATGGCTAGTACTATATTTTTGATTTCATTAAAAACCATAATAAACATAATTCCATGTCAACAATAAATGAAAATTAATCAATTAAGAAAAAACTAATAACTATTACAATTATTTGAACTCAAAAATAAAAGAATTAAATTTAGATGAATGGAGATTAAAATGGTAAAAAAAGATTGGAATACAATCAATTACTTACTAATAAAAAATAAAAATAATTTTTGTCTAACATTATGCTTAAAAATAATAATTGGCAAAATAAATTGTATTATAATTTATGCCTAATATTAATTGATATGTTGTATGACAAATTTTTTTTTTTTTTTTTGAATGTGGTATTTTAAGCAAAGTACATAACATTCTTTACATTAGAATGTACTTTGACAATACGTTCCATTACATTTGATGTTTGTTCTTCTTCACTACAGTCAGATTTACTTGATTCATTGACACTGAAAAAAATTTCATAATTTCAAAAAAATTTTTTATTATTATTATTATGATTATTTTTTTATTTTTATTATGAACTAAACAACAAACTACACAACAATTTTCAAATTAGATTTAAACTAACTTAATAATTAACAATTACAGTTTGTATTTTTAAATAAAATATATTATACTTTTATGAAAGTAAAAATTTTTTTATTGAGGTTCTATTCAAAAATACTAAAATGAAAAAATCTCAACAAATAATAACCACAAATTTAGATTTCCCGGAGAAAATTTTTATTTACTCCAAAATAATCAGGAAAAACAAAATAAAGTTTTGAAAAAAATGGAAATATTTTACAGATAGTTGGATGAGTTCTTCTCAACGACGATTAAGTAATTTTTATATAATTAAAAAATATTTAATTATATAAATATAATAAAATCATCATTGTATTTTTGTTTTTTTTGAACCTATAAACATTTAAATTTTTTCAAATTTTTAATTTTTAATCATCATTTTGAAAAGTAAGTACTTGAGATCTTTTATTTTTCATTCCCAGCATCCACTTATTTTTTTTAATACCTACTACCAAAGACCAGACTCAAATTAAAGCATTTTTAATATTCTAAGGGTGATGAAACATGAAAATAAAAATATTAATAATAATAAATAATTGTATAATCAATACATAAAATAAAAAAATTTTCTACTCTTTTTCTAATTTTTTGAACTGTTATCGGTACACAACCATTTATCACACACTATAAATGTGTAAAAAAAATGTATATAATGCCAACATATATTTAAATGTTTTAACAGATTATATAAAATAGTAAACATCCCAAACTTAATTTTGTTGAATGCAAACTAGTCAAGTTATTTGTGGGTTAGAGAAAATAACAAATTTATTCTCTTAAGTTTCACTCATAAAAAATAATAATATTTATGTGCAATATGTTAAACTTTTTTGTATCATTTTAAGTAAATAAAACTTATGAAAGACCCATTAATAAAAAATTTCAAGCTTTAAAAATTAATATTAAAAATTATATACATTTTTACTACAAAATACTTTACAAATAATTATAGTTTTGACTAAGAAATAAAAATTTCAACGACATAAAAGAGAACAAAAAAGTTCAACAATTTAATATGCCAATAAATAGCTTAATAAACGATATAATTATGTCTACCAACGGTTATAAGTTTATAATTATAATTAAAAAAAAAAAAAAACAGACACATCATTGTATAACTAAGGTACATTCATCGCATTTTGTTGTTAAGTTGATCACAGTAGTGAATAATGTGTTAAATAATATGAAAAAAAAAACAAATTTTAAGAAAAAGAGATATATTACAATATATATTAGAATAATTTGTGTTATATTAACACTACGATTTTACTATTTAATGTACTGTAGAGTGGTACGAAC